TTTACAGATGTAGTTTAAGTCTGTTTGATTTGCCATTGTGGTTTTAGTAAACTCTGACAAGAGGGAAACATACTTTGAGGTCACCAAAAACCTCCATTTGCCGAAGTTGACCTGAATGGTATCCCTGCTTCCACTCTTGATCTTCTAGTCATTTTCCACCTACTAGCTAGAGTTATACTTAAAAACATAAATCCCGTCATCTCAGTCTCTGCTTAGAACCCTTCAGTGGATTCCAATTTCTGGAATAAAATCAAAAGTTCTAACTGGCTCATACAGCCCTATGTGAGCTAGCCCCTACACGTCTCTCCCGCCTCACGGGCTTCTTTCAGCCCTTCAGTGGCCAAGGTCTGTCTTGGCCCATGACCTTTCCAGAGCTGGTCACTCCTCTTGGAAAATCCTTCCCCAACACTTCTTCACAGTGCAGCCCCCCATTCACTGTTTTCTCCCTTATAGAAACAGTTCTTTCCTCTCTAGCAATTTTCATAATTTATCTGGGTTTGTTTCATGTCTGTTTTTCCCACTCTTCTGAAATCTCCGTGTGTATTCTGTTTACCACTGTACAGCCAACAATATTTAATTTTTATTCACTCAATTAAGAAATATTTCTTCCTAAGCTTCCAGTCCCATAAATATCATATGAATATTAAAATTCAGTTTTGAAATATTGGAAAAAGGGAATTTGGTGAATATTATCCAAAAAGTTGACTTAAACTTCACAGGAATTAGGTCGAGAGACCAGGGGCTTTTGAGAGGAGAAATATGAAAGTGTAGCAAGTATGATTAAGTTGCAGAGCAAAACCTTATAAAATCTCCTGAAAGAGGTGCCGACACCGCTGGAATCCTCTGGGATCCTCGGTTTGTTTGAATCCATGAACTTCCATTTCCCTGTGATGTCTTTTCTGCTCAGCCAGTGCCCTGACCTCCGCCCTAGTGCTCTGCTCTGCAGTGAAGTATAGCCCCCACTAACCGAAGGGATCAGGGGATGGGATCCAAACAACTGACCAGGACCTCTCACACCCACGCCAGGCAGCAAAAGTTGGCAGAATATGTGCAAAAATGTATAGCCCCACAATCACAGGAAGATTTTAACCCACTTCTCTAAAAATTGAGAGCTCAAACATACAAAATTTGAAGAAGACAGTTAATGAATGTGAGCTAGTGGACTTATATATAACTGTACATCCATATAATTATTTTTAAAATTTAACACTACATGGTGCTTACCATGTGCCAGGCACTGTTCTAAATGTTTTACAGCCATTAGCTCATTTAAAGAATTAAAGAGTACATATTCTTTCTCGGTTTATATCGACAGCTTGTAAATGTGATCATGTACTGGGTCACAAAGCAAGTCTCAGCAAATAAAGATTTAATATCTATAGATCAAATCACATATGTAGTAAAAGGACAAAAACGTGAGACAGCAGGTTTTCTGACAAAGGCAAGGAGAAGCAGGGTGGAAGAGAAGGGGATGGGAGAAGAGAGGAAGTTTTAGCTCTACCTAAAATGTTTTATTTGAGAGAAGGGAAGGAAGGGAGGGAGGGGGAAAGGAAGCACAGAAGGGAGGAAGGTAGGAAGGCAAGAAGGAATGACGGAAGGAAGGAAGAAGGAGGGCAATTTCTCTTAAATGGTCCAGAAAAAAAATCTGCATATGTAATACACAGAGACAAAGATAAGAAAATGTGGTAAAATATTAACATTTGGGAAACTGTGAAGGGTGTATGGGAATTTTTTGTAGTAGTTTTTCAATTTTTCTAAAAGTCTAAAATTAAGTCAAAAATTTTAAAAAGTTATAACAATTATGGCAATCTCAATTTATGGGTAAACAAATGTCACATTATTTTCTTTACCTTTTAAGTATTTCATAATTAAAAGATAAAAAGAAAAAATTTAAATCAAGCACAGCAAATTGTTTACAAGAAGAATCCTCATGTCAGAAGAGATGAGGTTGTGGTTCCCCCCACAGAAGGCTGCCTTTGAGTGAAATGAAATAAGCTGTGCTCAGGGGGCCTTCCCAGCAGAGGAGCTGAGAGCTGAGTGCCCACTCTCCTGGGGAGCCAGTGGCCCCCTGTTGGACAGTTGGGCCCTGCCCAATTCTTCAGCCCTGGCTTTGCATCTTATTTATCTACATTTGGCAGTTTTTCTCTATGACAGGATAAATAAATTAATAAACATCAAGACACAACCAAAATTTGTTTACCCATTCTTCAGTTTCTGGGCATGTATGCCAATGTCGTTCAGTCGGTGTTTATAGGATGCTCACTGTAAACAAAGCACTGCACGGGGTACGGTAGAAAAGCATAAAAACAAATATAAGACACGGCCAAACGCTCACCCCAAACCCCTAATCTGACATAGAAAGGGAAGGCACGAGTGCCTGTGTGTGCTGGAGGTTAGACCATCCACTTTCATCTTTGCTGCCTCATTTCATTTTCATACCAATTCTCTGAAGATCTCTGTTCCTATTTTATAGATGAGAAAGCTCAGAGAAGTTATTAACTAGCCCCAAATTACACAACTAGTAAGTGATGAAGCCAGGAGTTTACCTCAGGTCTTTCTGACTCCAAAGTCCATGTTCTTTCCACATCACCATGTTTATTAAAGTCACAAAAACACAAATACTGTAAAATTTCACTTACTCGACACTCTTGGGGATGAGTCATGCTGGACAGATGAGTAAGAGAAAGGCCAACCTCTAGGAAACATTGTTCAAAAGCTTCCAAGTCAGAGAAGACTCCAGAAGCCTCTGGGGGAGAGGCTTTTACTCCTTGCATTTCTGTTCCCTCTGGGCTGCTGGCGTCTGAAGCCCAGCACCTGTATCTCACTGACATATTCTCCCTGAAAGCTCCGGCAGCAGGTGGCCAAGGATCCCTTTTTCCTCCTTGCTCCCTCAAAGCACAAATGAGATAGACTGATAATTCAGAAATAATCTTAGTGCATACTAAGGGAGAATAAAACAGGAAGTACTTATGGAAAATATAGCCAGCATAAAAACAGTTGGATTTCCAAAGCAGAGTTTTCTGAAACTAGATTGGGAACCCACCCAATCCTGAATTTAAAACACTGCCCCTTGGTCCTAAAAGGACTCTGCAGGCCTGTTTCCCATCTCATTCCTCAGCATTTTGCTATCTGCTGGCCAGGTGGCTTTCAGTATTTGTATTGTCCTTATTCCTGGAAATGGGTCTAATGATTCATTCTATTCCTTCCATATAACACCTCTGAGAACATTACTTTCCTTATCTGTATAAAAAGGGAATAATAAAAATATCTAACTCATAGAGATCAAGTGGAGAGATGATGTAGGTATATGGCACATGATAAGCGCTCACAAGTTATTTTTCTCCTCTTCTCCCATCTCTGCACACGTGCCTAATAACGACAATAATTTACCTAATGGTGGAGCACTTACTATGTCCCAGGCACTATTCTAAGCACTTTACACACATTAATTTAATCTCTACCATAATCTTAAGAGGTAGGTACAATGACCACCTTCATTTTATGAAGAAATTGAGGCACCAAGAGAACAAACAAGTTGCCCAAGTTCAAAAGCCCGGACTCAATCTAGCCCGTCGGGCTCCAGAACCAGTGCTTCTAACCACCGTGCTGCACCACATACACAACGGACCCTGCTGTGTTTAAAGTCAGCCGTTCAGACCTGCATGGATCCCTCCACTCCATCTGCCTTTCCCGTCTGTCTCCATCCCCAACTCCGCCTATAAGTTCACCCTACAGCAAGGAGAAAGAGAATTGAGGGAACATAAAAGAGCCTACAAGTGTATCACTCATATATATAGAGAGATATAATTTATGACTAAAGGTGCAGCTACTTCATAATCTTCAGTATTGTCTGAATTCATACAGCAGGCATTAATATTTCCAAAACCAATAAAAAACATGTGTAGGGACCAGCCCAGGGGTGGAGTGGTTAAGTTCGCGTGCTCCGCTTCAGCAGCCCAGGGTTTCGCCAGTTCGAATCCTGGGAGTGGATGTGGCACCACTCATCAAGGCATGCTGAGGTGGCATCCCACATGCCACAACCAGAAGGACCCACAACTGAAAATACACAAGTGTGTACCAAGGGAATCTGGGGAGAGAAAGGAAAAATAAAATCTTTAAAAAAAAATAATAAAAAATGTGTAAAGGTAGATTCATTTTGAGGAAAAAATTACCAAGCACAAATAACTTTGGAAAGGAAGAAGGGATTGCAGATAGGAGGGAGTTTTTGTTTGTTGTTTATTTTAATGTCAGTTAAACTGCATTAAAACAATAACCTATCAGTAATAGTGAATATTTTCCTATATCATTAGAATAGTGATTAAGAACATGGGTTAAGAGCAGATGTGGGTTGAATTCCAGCAACACTACTTTACTAGCTGTTTGAACTTAACTTCTGTGTATTCTCGTTTATAAACAGGAATAATGATCCCTATCATCTAGGGATATTGTTAGGCTTAAGTAAGAAAATGTAATTAAGGTGCTTGGTGTTGTGCCAGATTCATCACAAGTACTCAATAAGATATTTTTCTTTTTATAACATTGCTGTAATGGCTGAAGAGCATCCTATCTCACGGCTGTGCCAGGCTTCATTTAACTAGTCCCACACTGCTAAACATTTGGATCATTTTCAATATTATCACTAGTATAAACAATAGCAAGAATTTTCCATACATTTCTGGTTATTCCTTTAGGGTCAAATCCTACAAGTGATTTGGTAGACCAAAGAATATCAACATTGTACACTTGTGACACATGTTATTAAGTTATTGACCAATATATCATTTTACCAAGTTAATCTTCTTTATAGTGAAGGTATTTAGTCAACTCTTGCCAATAGACATCATTTTAAAGAAATATGCTAATTTCACAGGCCCACCCCCACCCCCATGTTGCTGTTTTACTTATTTATTAGATATTTCAATATCTTCTTTTGTTATATTATACAGCTTTTAGGCTCCATAAATGAATTCACATATGAGATTGGCAGAAAAATAGAAAAATAATTGGAATAGGTAGAAATTTTAATGCAGCATACTACAGACATGGCATTTTGTCATTTAAGAGGGGATGACTTTTTCCAATGGTTTTCAAAGTACTCCCTGGAGCCTTCCCTGAGGTGAGGGTGGGAATGGGGGTATGACGTGCTGGCAGGTTGGAATAACTCTCATCCTTTCTCATTACAAGCACATTTATCTGTTTTACATATTGAACTTCTTGTAAGTTGATCTGAAGGGTTCTGGACCTGAAAACAAAACCAAAAACACATTTAATACAAGGTTTTGAGACAACTGGTATTTTGCAATAAAATGAACAGATAAATAAAATAAGCTGAATCTCCTCCTCACATCATATACAAAAATACATATCAGCTGGATTAAAACATTAAATGAAAAGTAACTTCCATAAACTACCAGAAATTATGGGCAAGCATTAATTCCTTTTTAAGCACACTGATAAAAGTGGAAACCATAATGAGAGGCACAATTTGTCTGGGTTGGTTTTTCCTAAAACGTGTGCCTCTGATACAAATTCAAAATGTTTTGTAGCCAAAGTGTGGAAATGGTAGATATCAATGATAGTGCCAAGAGGTGGTTTAGGGCACTAATACCCCCATTATCCCTAACAGCATCCCCAGATCACCCCAAAATATACACTCTAAATAAAATAATGTGCAAAGCAAACAAATATAACTGAAGGACACATCCTAGTATCTTGTGCTAGAGGCAGACTCATGACACTAAGCCCTTCTCTCCCTAGACATCCTGGAGCCATCACGGCTGCTCTCTGGAAAGAGTCACAACGTCATCAGCATAGAAAGGCTCTGAGAAGTCCTACAGCAAAAAAAGAAGAAAACTTAGTTTACTCATATTTCCTAAATGTATTTGACTATAGAACCCTTCTCTCAACATGATACTTATTAATATCCACAGAATTTGTGGAGCACACCTTAGCGAATGCCAGGCTACATGAAAATTAATATTTGAATCAGAAAATGCTGGGCAAGAGGCGTCTTTGTGAAAGATGCACTGTCCATTTATTGCTATTTTTACTAATGCTCAACTTGAGGCGCTCTCCGAGTTGTGATCTGCTGACACCTAGTGCTGATGCTTTTATTTAGTACACAAACATCATTTCCTACAATATGTTGCTGTCCATCTAAATAAAAACCCCTGCCTGCAGGCTGCGTTGGATTTAAATTCTTGTACATCATCAAAATGATGCACTTATATCTTGGAATACTACGAAAGGATTTATGTAAATGAACCCATGGCTAAAAAAAGCATACTGGCTTGTATTTTTGTTCCTCTCTCACCTATTAAAATATGTCTTATGAAATGATACATATGAAAAAGGTGTCAAGTACTACTTGTTCTGACTTCTGATGTCATACTCATGAAAGGAACTAAATTAGACTGTGTTTAGGGGACAGAGCTGGAAGGTTCAGAGAGAGGGGTCAGGGCAATTTACAAAAACTCAAGATTGTTACTGGAATGAAGATACACCAAGTGTTTCTTTTAGTAAACTCTTAAGCTTTATTTTCTTTTACACCAAAAGTACTCTTCAGGTTCTAAATAAAGGGAAAAGAAAAAGCAAGAGGCAGAGGTAATACAACCGCAGTGATAAGCATTCTCCTGCTCCAAGGACAGTGGTTATTTGGTCTGGCCACTTAAAATTAATGTTAATTTGAATTGCAAAATGTTAGGTTTATGAGCATTGAGATTCAAATTCTGATCCATAGTAAATGTCTCTGTATGTTTACTTTAATAATGTCAATGCAAATGATACCTATTTGCACAAACACACTGTATTTTAACTTCCAGGTTTTTTGCTGCCAATTTTAGATATTCAGATCTCATATTTCAATAAAAATTCTGGTGCTACAAAATCTTGGAATGCCAATTTTAATTGAGTATCACTTGATAATTCTGTAAAGCAGTGTTATTCACTATAAGATAGGATTAGTATTTTTGAATATTTGAATCTGAATTAATTATTGAACTAATCTAATTATTGCTGGGAACCAAAAACCTCACTTGTTTACTAGTTCACTTACAGCTACTAAGTTGTTGCTAATTTAAGTACGTCTATGTGTGTGTGTGTGTTTTGTGCCATTTCTCTTTCTAACTGGAATGTGGCACTGACAGTTAAAGTGCTGGTTCCTGTGAGTTTGGCAATCTAGGCTACTGTATGACATGTGATGACTCAACTCCCTATCAAAATTACTGTGAAATCTTTATCCATACATTTTGTCATAACGTCTTTTGGCTTTCATCTGATACAAACAAAATCCTAAACTCGATGTGAACTCAGGCACTCAAAACTTCATGTTTTAAGGTTCTCATTTGGGAACTCATAAATAACATTGCTTTGTTGTAGATTACTATCAAAATGACAACACAAAAAAATTGCTAAATCTTGTAGAGAATTTGTGGATTTTCTATGAACATATGTTTGAATCTCAGGCTGAGAAACTCTGCCATGGATGATCGCCATTCATTCATTCAACGATATTTATTGAGGCGACTGTGTGCCTGGCACAGGGAATCCAACAATCAACAAACCGCCTGCCCTTATGAACAGCCTTACAGTCTAGTGGGGAAGGAGGACAATAGACAAGTAACTATATAATTTCAGATAGTGATTAGCGCTGTAAAGAAAGTGAGCAGGGTAAGGGGTTGGACAGTGAAAAGGACAGGGGTGCTGTTTTAGAGAGGTTGGCAGGAATGGCATCATGTTGGAGCTGACATCTGAATAGACACCTAAGTGAATATTACCTGGGAAAAGAGTTTTCCAGGCAGAAGAAGAACAAGTACAAAGGCTTTGAGACAAGAATGTACTTGGAGTGTTTGAGGACCGAGGAGGCCAGCGTGGGTGAAGCATAAGCCAGGGAAACAATGTCAGAGAAGCAGCCAGGGGCCAGATCACAGAGGCTTCTGTAATGTAGTAAGAACTGGTGGTTCTCAGGGAAAAAACGGGATTGCAGAAGCCATGCTTCAGACAGACTAGAGGTGGAACTCCTGTCTCTGGAACTCAACTCTTTTCTTCCTTTTCCTTTTTAAAATCAATGTTATTGAGGTATAATTTATATACAACAAACACTCATTTTAAGAGTACAGTTGGATGAGTTTTGGCGAATGTATATATCCATGTCACCATCACCATACCATAACCAAGATAAAGAATATTTCCATCATCACAAAAACTTCCCGCGTTCTTTTTGCAGTCAGTCCCCATCCGCTAGCCCCAGCAGAGCCAGGGACTCACTGGCATATGGGGACTCATTACTTCTAAAGTGGACTTTGAGGACCTAGATTTGTGCTGTCCAATACAGTAACCACTAGCCAACTGTGGCTACTTAAATTTAATTAAAATTAAACAAAATTAACAATTCAGTTCCTCAGTTTCACTAGCCACATTTCAAGTGCCTAATAGACACAGGTGGCTAGGAGCTGCCATATTGGATAGGACAGGCACCAGACTTTTCCATCACTGCAGAAAGTTCTACTGGGCAATGCTGAGACGTTACCCTGGTGGAAATTGACCTTCGCCACATGGAGGTAGGCCAAGTAGCCTGAAAACTGAGTAAGCCATACAAGTCACATTGCCTAGCTTTATGTTACTATCTGTGTTTACTACCTTTATAACCAAGTAATTAATAAAGGTTATGCTTGGGCCAGGGTTTGAAATGGGAGGAGCACTCACTGGGATGACATGATAATGGCAACGGTAATTATGGAGTTGTTCACTACATAGAAATTCTTCTTCCATTGCTAAGTTTAAAGGATATTCTATTTTTATTAAGGGAAGTGGTGATTTCCCTTATAACTCATAAGGCACAATGTCGTGTTAAGTAAAATTAAACTTCAAAATCATAGTCTTACTAAATCTATAATGTGTTTTTTTTCCCTTTGGAAGGGGAGATTCTGAAGCTACTATGCTGAAATGTTAACATTTGTTAAACCTAGTAGTGGGTACATGAGCATTTTTTATATTATTTTTCTGTACACTTTTGAATGTTTCAAATACTTTAAAAGAAAAATGTAGGCTTTCATTTTAAATGTTTATTTGATGTTATTAAGATTTTTCATGATGTGATTAAGCAATACAGGTTAAAAATAGTATGCACAGTAGTATAGCATAATGGTCAGTACAACGTAAGAGTCAGTACAGCATAACTGTTAAGTGTACAGGCTCTGGAGCCAGACTGCTTGGGTTTTAATCCTAATTATGCCATTTACTAGCAATGAGACACTGAGAAAATTAAGTTACTTAACCTCCCCGTGCCTCAGTTTCCTCATCTGTAAAGTAAGAATGATAATCATAGTACCTAGCTCATAAGGATATCATAAGGACTAAGTAATATAAAGACCCTGGTGCGGAGTAGACACTCAATAAGTATTAATAGCTATGATGATGATGATGATACAATTTTGGTTTTCTAAAAACATATACACTCTTTTTTTTAATAGAAAAAAAGAACTTGAATGGTCCATCAAACATGTTAACAATTGTAACCTCTAATTGATAACAGACTAATTTTAATTTTCTTCTTTTTTACTTATTTTCTAAACATCCTATGTCAAGCAATTCCTTTTGTAGTTAAAACAAGAGGAACACAGAAACAAAGCCTTGGCTTTAAGCCCGTCCTCAAAAGTGCCCTACAGTCTGGTAAGCAGTGATTTTCAAAGTGTGATCCTTGGGCCAGCAGCATCAGCAGTAACAGAGAATTTGCTAGAAATGCAAATTCTCACGCTCCACCCCACATAAACTCATTCTGGGGTGAAACCCAGCAATCTGTTTTCGTCTTACATTTAATTCTGCTGCTCACTAAAGTTTGAGAACTACCATGCTAAGGCATAACTTGTAGCTCTGTACTTTATATAATGTATATATAACATTGTATGTTTATATAATGATCTCTCTTACCTTTATATAGTGATAAAAAACTGCCAACCATTCTTCCTCAAATACTCCCTGCAACTCTTGCTTAGGAAGTCCTCCTCCCACCCTTGGACATACATTTTCTGAGAACCTTTTGAGAACAGCTCCTCTCTGTCCCCAGTTACTGTCTGATATAGAAAATGCAAATGCTTTCTGGGGCCAGGCAGATAATTTGTCTCAAGGGGGCCTGGTGTTAGACCTTAAAGAGTGAAGCGCTGGCCACTGTCCAAAGATGTTCACATTAAAAAAAAGTTAAACTGCTCCTGGCCAAACAAAACACATGTAAGCCAGGTTGGGCCACTGGCCACCAGTTTGCACTCACTCCTTGGCTAATTCTCTCTCAAAGCACTAAGCAGCTGTGATGTAGTGGAAAGAGTGAGTGCTGAGCATGGAAGACAACCTTGATTTGAAGCCCACCTCTACTACCTGCTGGCTGGGTGGTGAAAATGATGATAATGTTAACCTCTCAGAGTTAAACCTTCTCATCTGTATAATAAAAACAATACTTCCTATCTCTTGTAAAGGCTCTTTATCTTTTAAAGGTTAAGATAATACACTTAAAAATACCTGCCCTATAATAAGCCCTCAATAAATTTTTCATAGCATTTGTGATATTTATTATCCTGTACTGTTTTGATTATGTGCTTTATTCTACTCGTATTTATGAATAGTTTAGTTTAGCGTATTACTTCTATTAGACTCTGAGCTCCTTTAAGACAGGGATGGCATTCTGCATTCCTTCAAGTTTCTACAATACCTTCTTCAGTAATTAAGTCCCTGTCATGTCCAACCTGAGCTTCAACAAAAGCTGTTACTCCAGGGGCCAGCCTAGCGGCACAGTGGTTAAGTTCTCGTGCTCTGCTTCAGTGGCCTGGGGCTCGTGGGTTTGTATCCCGGGCACGGCTCTACGCGCCACTCATCAAACCATGCAGCAGTGGTGTCCCACATACAAAATAGAGGAAGACCACCACAGATGTTAGTTCAGAGACAATCTTCCTCAAACAAAAAGAGGGAGATTGGCAACAGATGTTAGCTCAGGGCCAGTCTTCCTCACTGGAAAAAAAAATAGGTGTTACTTGAAATTTGATTGTCTGGGTAGGGATCTGGAATAAGAGAGTCAACTCTTCATACAGACATGCATTTCATATGAGAAAGTATGTAGTTGACTTATAACAACTCCCAAAGTTATGATTCTCTTCCTTTTCCAATATGAAAGAGAAAAAACAATGGCTGTTCTATTGTTAAGTGGATGCCTCTTGCTTTTACATTTACCAGGTTTGTTAAAAGCAATAAAGAAAGTACAGAAATTGTGAAAAGGGGTTTCCATTTTAACTGAATTTTGGCAATTCAGATACAAGTGATGCTGGGGTGATGGTGGTAGAAGACGTGTTTATTCGAGCAGCTAACATCAGGTGCCTAGTTCATTTGTCCCATCTAGAATACTGCGATAAGACAAGAGCTATCATGTATCACACAAAGAACTTGTGAAAGTTACTAGGCAATTAATCATGGAACTTAGGGGGAAGAAGGAAGCATGTGAATCTCACATAAGCAGGTTAGAGGCTTTCTGTACTCCTATGGCCTTATAAGAAACAGTATGTCATATTTTGTCCTAACAAAATTTTGTTTTTCTTACTTTATAGGTACCCATGCTTTCTAAGTGCCTGTAGAGAAATAATTTACATAGTGAACTTGGCATGGTTAATGTCACTGCCCCTTTATTTGTTAGCTTTCTTACTTTCTGAACTTTGCATCAGCAGACTCATTGAATAAGTGATTTTCAGGTTAAATGATTTAATTTAATCCTAGAATTGCTTGAAAACTTATCTTCTCTCCCTTCCCCCAATAACTATGCTTTATACCAGGGTATTTCTATTTTTTCCCTCAAAAGTATAATCCTAAACCTAGGAGAACCATAGTAACAAATGGGTTTAAATATCAAATTTACTTTGGGAAGAATGTTTCTAACTAATCAAGGTTGCATATGGGGAAACGAAGACTGGATCAGTCAAGTGGATTGTGCTTGACAAGCCAGAGAAAAGCTGCTCATTTCTTCAGTAGGGCGGGAAGTGGTTATTTTGTCAAGGTACAATGCAGAATGATATATTCAGTTAATTTAAAAAATCTATTTCACTGTTCATATGTATCATCAATAAGGAAAACTTGGCTAGCTGAGGTTAAGACAGAAGTGCATGACAGTGTTAGTTAGGGTTGCACACGGCTGCCATCTTTCACATGCTCCGAGGCTTTCTTAATTCAATTCTTTGGCTCTGTATGAGAAAAATAAAATTCACTGCAGGTGTAACTTCTCAGTCACAGTAGAAAATAATTTCCACTTAAAGGGTATATCCAATTTCTCAACTTATAAACATTCAATTAAAAATCAGTTTCAAGACCATTTATGTAGTTACCACCAAACTACTGTCAAAATAGAAGTAAACAACTTTTCCTGCATGAATTAATTCTTTAAGAAAAACTTTACTGAAAATTATCCCCTTCAAGATAAGTAACATTACCTATGTTGTATGAAGGTAACATTATTTTTGCATAGGCCAGGTAGAATTGGGCAAAAAAATCATTAACAGTTGAAGGATTTCCCTTTCAAAATATCAATCTTTTTGAAGAAAACTGTAGACGATAAGTAAATGAAAGTCAGTACTAATACACTTTAGGAGTGTCTATCTTACAGATGGTTCATTTCAAAGCATCAAATTCTGTTTACTCAAAAAACCTAACAAGGTAAACAGTTCCCTCCACAGCTACACAGGATTCAAATGACCTCCTGGACTGCACTGATGTATCTATTTTGTGCCAAATGTTTCAGATAATTTGAGGTAGTTCACTTATCCAAGGTTTCAGAAAGCAAGAACTTCCAGAGTAAGTGAAAGAGGCTGACTGTACAATAGTAATTAAAATAATACTAGCTTTAAATTAACATATGACTGTGTTTGCATGAAGAGGCAGTTTCCTAACATGCAAGTAATAAAGCTCTGTTTTCTCTTTAAGGGTAAACATCCTTACAACCCCTTGAGTCACTAAGACCCTGAGGCCTAACAAAGGGTCTGAGCTCAACAGCTCTTTTTTTCTTTTGTAGGAAGTAGTGTAAAAAGCACTCTTTGGGTCTGAGATACATTGGTGATTTGACCTTGGACAAATCACTTAATTCCTTCTAGTCTCTTTCCATAGCTGTAAATGGAGTCAACAATACCTGGGACAGATATTACAGGACTGGTGTGGGGATGAGATGATATATGTGAACGTATTACGTAAACTATAAAGCAATAGTAACCAGTAGTTACTATTTTATGTAATACTGGCCTAACCTTTCCTGCCCAAGTCCCTGCCTATAAAATGGGTACAGATCTAGAATGCCTATCCAGTCACTTATCGGTTGGGTGAATTCGAACAAGTCATTTCCTTTCTGGACGTGTTTCCTAACAAGGTTATTATGAAGAGCAAATGATATCGTGTATAAAATACTGTCACAGACATATATCAAGGACTTAATACATGATAGCTGTTACTACTATCTGAGGGGAGAACCCTAAGGAGCAAACAATATAACACCTAGTTAAAAGGCTTTGTATATGTATATAAAACTCCATACACATCCAAGATATTGTTATTTGTATTGTAAACTGCAAAATCCTACAGGAAAGAAGAAACAAACGGCGCCTCAGCGAACCCCAGCAGAGAGGGGAAAAAAAGGTAGAAAAAGAGGCTCAGGAGCCTCGGTAGATTGGAAAAGCAGTAAGAATGAGACTAGAGAAGTGTGGCACAAAAAAAGACCTAAAGAAACACTCTGAGAATCAACTCACTACTTTCTCTCTTTTCTGTTATGACCTCCAGCCTAGACTAGACCATTTCATTCAACTTCCCAGCCCGCCACATCGCTGGACATTTATTTACTGTACCTTCTTCACCGAGAGCCTTTCATTCACCGCCCCTTCTAGGAGTCGTGAACTTCAGACCCTCCGCTTCCGACACCCCTTCCATTTAACTGTTTTTACCAAGCTTCCCCGTAGTCTTCCCTCCGCCTAAGGGGGAAGTTAGACTGGACGGGCCGCAAGGCATCCTAGGAAATGTGGTCTCTCATACTCCTTCCCTTGGGCCCCAGAGTCGGGAAGACGACGAAAGAAATCCAGTTAAAACTACAACTCCCGGCAGGCAACGTGAGTGACTGTGTTCCTTTCCGCCCCCGTTCCTATTGCCTTCCTCTTCCTCCTTGCCGTGGGCGCTGAACCGCTTGGCCTCACGATATTTGTAGTTCTTTATGGACCCAAGATCTTAGCACTCGATGGCCAGGAGAGCGGCTAGAAGACTCTAATTCCCAGAGGGCAGAGCGGAAGCTGCGCCTGCGCAGTCTCAGTGAGGGCGTGTATGTCTGTGTGTCTGGGAGCGAGCGAGCGAGAGTGAGTGAGTGTGAGTGCGGGGTAGGGTGGTGGCCGTTACGTTCGGGGCAACGGCTACGGCAGTGGAGAAGTAAGAAGAGAAACAACGTCCGGCGCTTCCGGCTTCGCTTAGGAGGAGGAGGAGCTGGTAGGGAAAGGAAAGTGATTCGCCCTGGGCCTGGACTAGACCGAGTCGGCCGGTGGGGGTCTGGGCTATGAGCCTTTGAGGTTCGCTTGGGACGCGGAGCGAGACACGAGAGCCGAGCGCTATGTCTCAGCCGCCGCCGCCGCCGCCGCTGCCGCCGCCACCTCCTCCCCCTGAGGCTCCGCAGACTCCGCCGTCCGTGGCAGCAGCGGCGGCGGCTGCTCCGGGGGGCCTGTCGAAGCGGAGAGATCGGAGGATCCTCTCCGGGAGCTGCCCAGATCCGAAGTGCCAGGCGCGTCTGTTCTTCCCGGCCTCCGGTTCTGTCAGCATCGAGTGTACCGAGTGCGGACAGCGGCACGAGCAACAACAGCTGCTGGGGGTAGAGGAGGTGACCGACCCGGACGTAGTGCTACACAACCTGCTGCGGAACGCGCTGCTCGGGGTGACAGGGGCACCCAAGAAGAACACGGAACTGGTAAAGGTGATGGGCCTTTCCAACTACCACTGCAAATTGTTGTCGCCCATATTAGCTCGCTATGGAATGGACAAGCAGACAGGCCGGGCTAAGCTTCTCCGGGATATGAACCAGGGCGAACTGTTCGATTGCGCTTTGCTGGGTGACCGCGCCTTCCTCATAGAACCAGAACATGTTAACACGGTGGGCTACGGCAAGGACCGCTCCGGAAGTCTCCTATATTTGCATGACACTCTTGAGGATATCAAGCGGGCCAATAAAAGTCAGGAATGCCTCATTCCAGTGCATGTGGACGGGGATGGACACTGCCTGGTGCATGCTGTGTCCCGGGCTCTAGTAGGCCGGGAGCTCTTCTGGCATGCCTTGAGAGAGAATCTTAAACAGCACTTTCAGCAGCACCTGGCCCGATATCAAGCCCTGTTCCATGACTTCATTGATGCTGCTGAGTGGGAGGACATTATCAATGAGTGCGACCCTCTGTTTGTACCACCCGAGGGTGTTCCCTTGGGCCTGAGGAACATCCACATATTTGGCCTTGCCAATGTGTTGCATCGCCCTATTATTCTCTTAGATTCTCTCAGTGGCATGAGAAGCTCTGGTGATTATTCAGCCACCTTTCTGCCTGGGCTCATCCCTGCAGAGAAGTGCACTGGGAGGGATGGTCATTTGAACAAACCGATCTGTATTGCATGGAGTAGCTCTGGTAGAAACCATTATATTCCCTTGGTAGGCATAAAAGGGGCTGCTTTGCCCAAACTCCCCATGAATTTGCTTCCTAAAGCTTGGGGTGTGCCTCAGGACCTTATTAAAAAGTACATCAAACTTGAGGAGGATGGTGGTTGTGTTATTGGAGGAGATAGAAGTTTGCAGGATAAATACTTACTTAGGCTTGTTGCTGCTATGGAAGAAGTCTTTATGGACAAACATGGTATCCATCCTAGTTTGGTTGCTGATGTCCATCAGTATTTCTACAGGAGGACTGGAGTGATAGGAGTTCAGCCTGAAGAAGTCACAGCAGCTGCTAAAAAAGCAGTAATGGATAATCGCCTCCACAAATGTTTGCTCTGTGGTGCCCTTTCTGAACTTCATGTTCCTCCAGAGTGGTTGGCTCCAGGAGGGAAACTGTATAACCTGGCAAAAAGTACTCATGGACAGCTGAGGCCTGACAAAAATTATAGCTTTCCCTTGAACAACTTGGTTTGCTCATATGATTCAGTCAAAGATGTTCTGGTACCAGACTATGGATTGAGTAACCTAACAGCTTGTAATTGGTGCCATGGCACATCTGTGCGAAGGGTCAGAGGAGATGGGTCTATTGTGTATTTGGATGGGGACAGAACTAATACTAGGTCCACTGGTGGCAAATGTGGTTGTGGATTCAAACATTTTTGGGATGGTAAAGAATATGACAATCTACCAGAAGCTTTTCCTATTACTTTGGAATGGGGTGGAAGAGTGGTCAGAGAAACAGTATATTGGTTCCAATACGAAAGTGATTCATCTTTGAATAGTAATGTTTATGATGTTGCAATGAAACTTGTTACCAAGCACTTTCCAGGTGAATTTGGGAGTGAAATCCTAGTTCAGAAAGTTGTCCACACTATATTGCATCAGACTGCCAAAAAGAATCCTGACGATTATACTCCTGTAAATATAGATGGTGCTCATGCCCAAAGAGTTGGAGATGTACAGGGACAAGAGTCGGAGTCGCAGCTCCCAACTAAAATTATTCTTACTGGACAGAAAACAAAAACTTTGCACAAGGAGGAGTTAAACATGAGTAAAACTGAAAGAACTATTCAACAGAATATTATGGAACAGGCTTCTGTAATGCAGAAACGGAAAACAGAGAAGTTAAAACAAGAACAAAAAGGACAGCCCAGGACTGTTTCTCCCAGTACCATTCGTGATGGTCCGTCCTCTGCACCTGCTACCCCTACCAAGTCTCCTTATTCACCAACAACTTCTAAGGAGAAGAAGATCCGAATAACAACTAATGATGGACGACAGTCCATGGTTACTCTTAAGTCTTCAACAACCTTTTTTGAACTTCAGGAAAGCATAGCCAGAGAGTTCAACATTCCTCCGTATTTGCAGTGTATTCGATATGGCTTTCCTCCCAAAGAGTTAATGCCACCCCAGCCAGGAATGGAAAAGGAGCCAGTTCCTTTACAGCATGGTGACAGAATTACAATAGAGATTCTAAAAAGTAAAGCAGAAGGTGGTCCGTCTGCTGCAGCACACTCAGCCCACACTGTGAAGCAAGAAGAGATTGCTGTTACTGGGAAACTCTCTTCTAAGGAACTTCAGGAGCAAGCTGACAAAGAAATGTACTCCTTGTGTCTTTTAGCAACATTGATGGGTAAGATCAATTTAACTCAGCTGGTATTTTTTAACTTAATTGTGAATATGATAGTTTCTCTGTTATCCTTGTGAAAAAAACAAACAAACTGTGGTCTTCGTAAAAACTATTTGATTATATATTTTAGGAGAAAATTATTTTCTTTAGTTTTTGGACAGTTAATGGATAGACGTTGGTATGATTCTCTATTGAGTAAATATTAGGGAAACATAAGTAAGAAAGTGAAAGTAATCCCTTAACTGTCACCAGGTTATTTAAATATAACTTATTCTTGTAATTGTTTTTTTAAAAAAGGCTTATAACGTATCCATTTAGAGTCTTTTTAATTTTTTTCCTCCATTTGGCTGTATTGAGCCTGCCCACTTTACCCTTTTTCATTTATTTTTAAATTTTATTTTCCTGCATATCATGTGATTTCAGGACTTCCTGTTTGATGAATTGCAGTTTCTGGTGCTTATATTCTCACTGCACTTCCATCTCAGTCTCTCTCCTCCATTTCCTGTTCTCCCTTTCCGAGTTCATCACATTTTTCTTATCTGTACATTAGAATTTGTGTTTAAGTAATTTCCTTGCTCACTGACTCTTTGCCATTGAATGTAATGAACTATTATAACTCATGAGAAATGTAAGAAACAGAGGTAGATGTTAATGGGATTGTTGAAGAAGCATTTCTTTTTAATAATTCAGCATAAATTAAAGGAAAATATATTATCAACCAAATATGTAATTTAAAACTTTAGATGATTTGGGATATGATTCAATGGTGCACTTTTTTTACATCATTTTTATTTGCTTAATCTTTGTTTCTAAATCACTGTTAATATGCTTTATTAAGGCTTAAAGTAGAAGTAAAGTTTAGTTATATTACATATTAGAAGGACCTTCTTTTTGCTGAGATTAGAATTTTCAACTAGAAAAGTGATCTGGCTTTTTATTTTGTTTTCTAAGAGTACTAAATATCGGTGAATTGGGCCTTGACCTACCAAAATGAAGATTATTTATTGCTGGCTTGTTAAGTTTGGGGGCCTAGTCATTAACACGAGGTCTAAAAGCCCTGTACAAATTTACAACTTGATATTGCTGATTTTATTTTGGCAGACATAGTCATTGAATTGGAGGATATATTCAGAAATGTACTAAGCACTTTACATATTTCTCTCTCTCAGAGTTTTTAGTTTCTTAGAGACTGCATTGAATAGAGGAAAGATTGTGTGATCTTTGGAGTCAGAAAGACCTAGAATTTGAATCTTGGCTCCACTACTCATTAACTTAGTGATTTCAGGCAAGCTGCTTAACTGCCTAGTATTTCAGTTGCCTCTTCTATCCAAAATTCCCCTTGTAGTAGATAACACAGGGCAACAGTAAAGTACTCACAGAACTCTGAAAATTAAATAACATCAGCACAGAATGAATAAAATTAGACATATGCAGAAGGCACTTTAAGAAACCAGCAATCTCCTAGGTCAAAAATAAGAAAGACAAAGTCTTCAATAGAAGATGAATTCTTGAGTATGTGGCTCCTATCATTTAACCTTGGTATATCTAGGTTAACCTAGTATAATGACCAGCAGGTAATAGCCGCTTTGAAATGTTTTTTATTGAATTAAATAGGTGACTAACATATCTAAAGAAAGGCTGTGTCAGCAGAAATGGAATGGATGGTCAGCATTGAACATTGAAAAAGAGTTCAAAAGCAGAATTTGGCACTATTTATATACTGCTGTACAAAGGGAAAAGATTCATCATCTGGGGTTCATGAAAATTCTGGTAACTAGAAACGTAATTTCTGTTGAGGGGTAGGAATATTTGATCAGCCCTCGCCGTGGCCTGGCTGAAAGAGCTGTATCCCTTCACTGATTCTGTATCTATCACGTATGTATTCTGATCACTCATTTAACTTCCTGATATAAGTATTGATGTACAAGTGAGAGTGCAGATGAGGATTATGTTCATTTGGAAGGCTGTGTTCTCCATTGTAGATTAATAAATTGGTGTGGGTAAGATTATGATCAGTAGTCTAAAAGTCTGGTCAGCATGATAATATATTTCCTAATGAAAATTAGTAAAGTATAATTCTGGTTTATAACTAGTCACTTTTTGAGTTTGGTTTGAGGTTTCTGGACCTGAATATCTGAGTACTTGACTGTGGACTGCAATGAGTTCACCAAGATAATGTCTTCCTTTTA